AATTTTAGAATATAAAAAAAAATAATTAAATTAATATTATTAATATTAATTTAATTATATAAATATAAAAGAGAAAAAAAAAACTTGTAATTTGTTTTTTTTTTTATTATTATTACAATAATTAAAAAAGAAACTCTTAATATATTTAATTTATGTTTTAATAAATTTTATAAATATTATATTATTTTTTTTAAAATATTACTACTTTAAAAAAGTTAAATTATTATCCTTTTTCTTAGGTTATATAGTATATTAATATTTTTTTTTAGTTAATATATTGTAAATAATAAAATCTTTTGATTTTTTAATTTGAATATTGATAAAAAATTGATATAATATTTTTAAGACATTATTCTTGTTTTATATAAAAGTTTTGTTTTGAATAGAGTTTGACTTGAAAGAAATTATATAATATATTGTTAAGATTTATATTTTATTAAGTATATAGTATAATTAATAGAATTTTATTTATATTTTATTATTATTATATTTTGTATTGATTAATTATCTTTAGCAAAATTTATATTACTTCAAAATTCAAATTTAAGTTAATATAAGTAAAATTTCTTAAAAAAATCAAGAAAATAAAATAATTATAAGAAAATAAATAATAATAAAAAAGAAAGTTTCCAAGATTTAAATATTCTTTTACTATAAACAAATCTTTATAAATACTCTTATTTTAAAAGAAATGATTTTTAATATTATACTATTGATTTTTTTTTTTTAATTACTGGAATTTAAGTTTTTTTGTATAAAAAAGAATATAATTAAGAAAAAAAGAAATATAGATGATCTTTGAAGTTATTTTTGAATTGTTTTAAAGAAAGTAATAAGATTTTATTAATATAAAAACATAAAACTTTTTGCAAATATCTTTTTTATATACAGTATAATCAGAGAATTAGCAAAAAGAGTTTGCTAAAATATTTCTTTGTTTTTAATAACCTTGTATAATTATTTAAATAAATTTTATTACAGTATTTTATAATATTCTTAAAAATATAAAAAATCAATAATCAATTTTAACTTGTAAAACCATAAAACATCTTTGTAATATATGGCATTCGTGTCACAGTATATTTCAAAACATTTAAAAGGTTGATTTATCAGAAACAATTGTGTTTCTCTGTCATTTATTCAAGTGATCTCGTGCTCAATTAATTTTTTACTTTATAGTATAAGGGACATAGACTTTATAATAAAGTTTCTAAAGATTATTTTTAACTGTGAGTGCTGTAATATCTGTAATATCTGGGCCGGGGTATGTGTTATTGAGAAAGTCGACTACCTCTGAACTTGTCATACATTTTTTTTTCATTGCAATCAAGCTAAATAATGAAATTGTTTATTCTCAGGTGGCTAGAACACTTCCTTTGTTTTAGATTACCGGTTTTGGTAAGTTGTACTATCTATATACTGTATATAGTGTTTTTGAGGGAATCCAAAGATTAGCAACTTCTTTATGACCACCTTTCCACAAAGACTTTACCAGAAGACGACGTTCTGCAAGTGTAACATTTGCATCGCCAAAAAAAATTTTTTTTTTTCTTTTAAGGTGCACCGGACAAATTTCGAACGGAATTGACATATTTGTAAAAAAAAAAAAAAAGTCTTCTTCGCCCAGTACTGTAATTAACACGTATATGGTTAAAAATTCAAGGCTTACGGTAAATTATGGTATCAAAGAATTCTTATCGTAAATAAATCTAATAATTATTTTAATAACTGATAATAACTGTTTTTTAATACCTAAAAATTTGTTGTGAGAAGGGAAAAAACGACACGATCATGTTAAACAAAACTACAAAGTTCAAAAAAGGTGACCATACAATGTATTTTATTTTATGTTACATGTTAGTTTCGGTTTTTATTTTCTTAAACGTTGTACGATCTCCCGTGTTCATCGGATTTTGAGGTGAACGATTTTCGGGATTTTTATCCCATTTTTTCATGGGATCTATATAGCAACTCTTCCTGAAGAATATTGCTGAATGAGGTTTTGAGAATGAATCATTTGAGGATCAAAAATAAATTTATATTTTTGCACCATTCCATCTGTGAAATGCGAGAAAGATTCTTACGCAAAGATCCTTCTGGTGCAATATCATACCGAGCATGTAAATAGAAAATTGTAGCGCACAAATTATTACGACAGTTAAATAAAATTACTTACTCCTTTTATAAATATTCCCTGATCCGGGAAGCAGTAGCAGCAAACACGGTTGAAAACCAACTACAGTAGTCAATATTTTCAAATTCTTTACTGTTCATCCTTTTCAACACCCATTCCATTCTCACCTCAACAGATTTTTGATAACATTCGGATGCCTTGTGTTCATCCCTTTCAACTCCAACTCCTCTATCATAGCAACAACCAACAAGAGAGACACTCCAAAGTCTCTACTAATTTTCGACAGCATTCGAGGGCCCTGCGTTCATTTTTTTTTTCAACCAAATTGCAATAATGCTTTGAACCATGTGATTTGGTTCATTATTTAAGCACCAATGAACAGCACCTTTTGCTAAAGCATTCGGGACTGCGCTTCTCCGAGTAAAAAAAAAAATTGCGTCAACTAAAAAATACATTGCAGGTCATTTATGCATACAGACGAGTCGCACGAAATAAGGCATACCCGGACAAAGTCACTAGACCTTTGTCGGGGAAGTGCGCGCGCACGTAATCAAAATCGGTTAGGTAGAAATCAATTTATGCAATTTATGCACAGCCTCAAACGTCCTAAGAGTGACCGCACGATCCATGTTTAAAAAAGGATGCCATTTTCGCTGAACCAAATAAACGCCTTTTCGGGTTAGACATGTTCGTGTCGGCGATGATCTTTTTGTTGATCGGCTCAACCCGACTCATCCCAATTGCACAAAAGAGATCTTACCAATTTCTAGCATACATGTTTGTCATACGTCTGTCACAAATAAACAACGCTCTTTAATTTAACTAAATAAGAAGGATCTATTATGCTCGTTAATAATGGTAATTTTGAATGTTCAATTTATTTTACAAATTAGTTGCGATTTGACCGCTAGATAACAGGATATACTGTATGTATGTATTGAATTTGTGTGCATGTATACTTGAATTTAGTTTTAACGTCACAAGAGGATGCCGCCTGTGATCTTGAATGTACAATTCGTTATTAACGGCAGAAACCCAACCAACTTCTGCGAACCAATTAACCGATTAGTTTGCCGATCTTTTTTTTTTTTTAATCCGCCGATTAAAAAGAAGTTAATTACCCTTAGGAAAAAAAAAATACACGCCAAAAGCAAAGTTTTTTTTGAGATCCAAAAAAAAAAAAAAAAAAAAGATCATAAGCACGAGGAGAGATGAATAGTAATACCAAATAAATAAGTGAAACTTTCAAAAAAAAAAAAAAAAAAAAAGGCTTGACTTTTTGACAATTAAAAATACCACGAGAAACCATTATGCATATAATTCAACCGCAGGTTCGTATATGATTATTAGAAACTCGGAAATTTATCTCTATACAAATCGCTACACGGTTTCCCATAGGGTTCTCGTTCCTCTGGGTAAATATCAAAATTACTGGCATCCCCTTCGCCGTTGAAACGTGGAAGGTAAGGTGCAGCCACCTCTAGTTTGGCCAGACCATCCCAATTAATTCCTTTGAACCACACGTGATTTTTGATATCCGAGCTTCCGCCTTTCAAATTTCCGTATCGCTTACTCAGATCACTCGTCAACAACCGTTTCAATAAATCCTTGGCATCTGACTCGAAAAATGACGGATACTTTATTCGACCCGCCAATATTTTCTCATACAGTCTCACGTGATCATCGTCGTAGAACGGTGGATAACCCGCAAGCATTTCGAAAATTAGCACGCCCAGCGAATACCAATCCACCGCCTTTCCGTATCCCTTGGATTGTATGATCTCAGGGGCCAGGTAATCAGGAGTGCCACATAGCGTCCATGTGATGTCCGGCACGTATTTGGCGAAACCGAAGTCTGTTATTTTTATATGACCATTGCGATCCAGTAATAGGTTTTCGGGTTTCAGGTCGCGGTAGATTATGTCTTTCGAGTGCAGGTATTCAAAGGCCAAGATCACTTCGGCCGCATAGAATTTCGCTACTTGATCCGGGAAACGCTAAATGATCGTGATTAAAAAAAAAAAGGAATTCAACATATTAGATCGTCACCAATTTTCACGCCAAATAATCCGATCACACCGGTTTCATGATCAATAGTGATCACACTTGATTTTATCAGCCGAATCGGACGTGTATACAGACAGAGCCCTCCTCCACCTCTTATCTAACCGACGGAATTCACTAATAAAATACCTGATTCTTTCTCAGTATGCTAAAAAGTTCTCCTCCAACCACATAATCCATGACCATGTATAGATTGGCACTGTCTTGAAAAGTTCCCCAGAGGTTAACTAGGAACGGATGATTGACTTGCTCCAAGATGTGCTTTTCATTATTCGTGTGTTCCACCTGTTTCAACCTTACCACCTCCGATTTTTTCAATACTTTCATTGCATAAAATTTACTATTGTACTTGGACTGCACCAAATGAACCCTACCGAATGAGCCGGTGCCGAGGGTACGACAGATGTTGAAATCGGAAAGCAAGAATTTGGAATTGGGGCTTGGCGCATTCACATCCCTGTCGGCTTGGTGACCATTGTTGTGACGACTATGTAAGGTGATGTCGACGTGGCTGTTGCCGGTGTTACCACCGCTAAGTTGATGAGAGTGGACGCTACGTGAAGCATGCTGCATTGTGTCTTCGTGAGGGTGTTGCGCGGCTTGTAGTTTAGCAAAGAAGTTTTGTTGTTGCGAGTAAGAGCTATATGAGGGTGGCGGACTATCCACAATATCAACGGTGTTGATATTGTTTGTGGTTGGCGTTATACCGATGGCCGATTGAGTGGGGGAAGTAAGATGTTGAGAGTGAGCGAGATGGTTGTTGTTTTTATTTATATTTTTTATTTTCACGGCTAATTGTTTACTTTTTATGGAAGAAGAACGATAATTAGAAGCTGTTGATGTCACTGAAGGAGTAGATAAAGAGATGGCAGAGGAACTTTGTGCATCATGGTTTATATTTTTTTTACTACTACTGCCACTAACAGTAGACTTATTAGGAGACGAGCACTGTTGCTGTTGGGAAGTGGTGAGAGTATTAGCAGTGCTATTGAGCACATTAACACTACTATTATTATTACTATTCATTACTATTTTACTGCAAAAAAAAAAAAATTTTTTAGAAAAAAAAAAAAATCATGCAGAAAGAATTTATGCGTGGATTGCGTGCAACAGTCGGGCCACCTCGTTAGGCAATGAAGAGCGATCACGTGTCAATACTGTCTTTTCCAATTTATTTTTTTTTTTTATTCTCTGTACAGTGTACGGAGGTGAAGTAATAAAGTGTACAATGCAATGTATATTTATTTCACTCTGTACAGATCAAAAAGGTTGGTGGCAAACCGACTCACCCATTCATAACATTTACACCTCATCCACCATTACCACCAAAAGTTTTCACCAAAGGAATCTCGGAACAACGAAGAACATTTTGATATAGGAGATTGTTAAAATATAATGAAAAGATAATAAAGATATGATCGTGTTGATAAATTAAATAATAAATTTTAGAGTGCAACCAGTTTTTGATATGACAGTGTTATCTTAATCTTAATAATAATAATAATAATAATAATAATAATAATAAATAATAATAATAAAAAAAAAGAGTTTTTGTCTAAGCAGTAAATTAATTAATTTATTTTAGCAAAGATCAATCTATATAGCTTTTTGCACTCGAGTTAATCTTTTTCGAAAAAGTAATGGTCCATTATTATTATTACATCATCGAGAAAATCCGTATTTAACTTGCCCAAAGATTCCTCCCCCCTCCCACCATTACGTCGAAAGCGATATGGAAAACGAAAACCTTCTGCTAAAGATCTTGGGATCAATAGAAACCTTGAAAAAAGATCAAAACGAACTCGCCGCAAAAGTAGGCAAAGTTGTTTGTGTGCTGTGAAAGTGGTCCCTTTTTTTTTTTTTTTACCTTTTACTTTTATTCGACTTATCGATAGTTTGATAATTACAAAACTCAAAGTAATGAAGAATTTAAAAAACTGGATGAACGTTTGAAGCAAAGTTCCGACGTCAAGACCCAGAAATATGAAGCCAAAGGTAATTCTTATTCCTCGTCGACCATTCACCCCCCTGCTGTTCGTTCCAATGAAAACCACCGATAATCATCGTTGCGCTCCTCATAGATACCACCAGCAAGGTCGTGTCGGATGTTCAGCAGTCGAAGATTGCTCCCAATTCCACCAAGGGAACGGTGACTTTTTTGTATCCCGATAGAATTGTGTTAACGAGTATGTTTGATTTCACTTGCACCGTGAATGTTCCAAAACGTGATTCACACGTGTTGACAACAAGTTGACTTTAGCATATCCCGATCAATTTGGAATTAAGCCCATACCTCTCAAGTGGGCCGAGTTCGATCCAATTGCCCGCGGTCCAATCGTGGCATCCCGTCATCCTTCGAGTATAAAAATTCGGTAAACCTCCCGAATCCCCTTTTGGCTTGAACCATTTTACCCAAACTCCACCGCTGACTTCTTCATTTCAAATTTTATCGTCAGTAATGCCATCGGTGCGTACGGTGGTTCCTATTGTGTTTATCGCGCATTGGCCATCGCTATGGGTGCACTTGATCCCAATCATCGCCCCGATTATAGGAACACCGAACCCACCATTCAAATAGGACCTCACCGACAGTGGGGAATTCCTAATAGGATCGTCTCATTAGATCCCTTCGGTCATCTGACGAATTCTCTGTTCAAGAGTCAAATAGATCAAGGAATTGACATCCGTCCTACCATTGCCATCACCAAAGCGCACATGAAGCTAGCTGAGATTGAGAATTCGGTAAAATCTGGAAAACTGAGGATCGACGGTAATGTCGTGCTCAATGAAATGGGCGAGCTGAACGTGGTGAAAGCTGCCGTCGAGCCTGTCTGGTATTTGCCCGGGGTTGCCGCACGTTTCGGTATTGACGAGGGTTTGCTGCGTCGCGCGCTCTTTGAAGATACCGGCGGAATGTATCCGGAGCTTATAACCCGCCCCGACCTCAAGATCTTTTTACCTCCAATCGGCGGTCTCACCGTGTACATATTTGGAAATCCAAACTACGTCAGTGACCCGAGCAAACGACTAACCTTGAGGGTTCATGACGAATGTAACGGATCTGATGTGTTCGGATCAGATATTTGCACATGCAGACCTTATCTGATCTATGGGATGGAAGAGTGTGTTAAGGAAGCTCAGAATGGTGGTTCGGGAGTGATTGTTTATTGTAAGTTAATTTCATTTTCAACTCTTGCAACTGTTATTTGTTGCGCTACGGGCACTCAAAGAATTATTGTCTTCAGTTCGTAAAGAAGGGCGTGCTCTTGGTGAAGTAACCAAATATCTCGTATACAACGCCCGCAAGCGTGCCACCGGAGGTGACACGGCCGACAATTATTTTTTACGTACAGGTGAGCTGTCTTTTATTAGCAATCAACATATTCTTTTATTATAATTCATATATTGATGGTTGATTTGTGACAAAAAAAAAAAAAAAAAACAAAAAGAAAACATTGCTGGGGTTAAAGATATGCGATTTCAAGCTTTGATGCCCGACGTCTTGAACTGGCTCGGAATCACAAAAATTGACAGGATGATGTCAATGTCTAACATGAAACACGAGGCCATTGTGGAATCTGGTATTTCCATAAGCGAACGTGTTCCCATTCCCGACGAATTGATTCCGCCAGACTCTCGGTATGACTGATTGTATATTTATTTCCGACTATGCAATAAGATGTATTCGAAAATTAATTTCGCTTAAATATTTAACATTCTAGTGTCGAAATCGATGCCAAGATTGCAGATGGATATTTTAGTACCGGAAAAGTCCCCTCGAAGGAGGATCTTTCACAGGTCAAAGGTAGAGAATGGGATGATATACAGCATTGAAGGATCTTTTTCTTCATCATCATTGTTATCATTATTTTTCCTTCCGTCATATATATATTTATTTATACTGTGGTTTTCCTTTCGTCGTCTTCTCCTACCATCAATATTTAAATTTTATTAATTTGAGAATATACGATACATTGAAATCATTCATAATTTAATTATAAAATAATTGCTCACAAAATTTTAATATTCTAACCCTCCACTTCCCAAACACCTTCCTCACGTCTAATCTTGATCCGGTATTCCATATCGACTAGTCAATTGTTGGCAAGGAAATATTAGCAAAATATTCAGTAGTAACGATCACAAGAGGTCATTTATCGTGTTACCTTTTCAACTCCTTCAACTCTTCCTCTTTCTTTTGCAGATTCATCTTTTTCGTAATCTTATTAGGCTGATAGTATAGTACTATAAGATACCTGCCCATAACGTTGAACCCGTTAAGGTGATCACACGCAGCTTTCGCATCGAATATATCTAAGATCAAAGAATTCAACTAGTCATTAACGAAGAAAAAAGAAAAAAAAAAAAGCTATTTAAAATTTGCGCGTGTCCCACCTTCGTAAACAACAAAAGCCGTTCCGCGTGTGTCTTTTTCGCATCCCCTAAAGCAAAAAAAAAAAAAAATGTCAATTGGTTTCCTGTAAAATCGTGTGTGAAGAGGGAGACTTACAGTCGAATCTGCCTTATAGCGCCATACTTTCCAAAGATGTCATACATTTCTTCCGAGGTAATATTAAAGGGAAGATTTCTGACAAACAACACACGATTTACCTCTGGTGGTAACCGGGCCTAAAAAAACCAGATCAAAAAGTAAGCGGGCGAAACCAAAAGGCTGTCCATACAAAGTGGATGATCATACATACGTTCCGGTTTTTTGCCGAAGCTGCCATAGCCATCTTGGAAGAGTTTTTAAATTTCAAAAAGTTGTCAAGTTGCTACAACTAAGAGAACTCGGGCAGTTGCTCATTTAATAATTTAACAATTTTGGTCACGTGACCACAGATGGTTATTATAACAGCGATTCAATTTCAAAAAACCGAAAATCTTTCATTTTTATACGGTCGGCATTCAACCGACAGCATTTTTTTATTAAAATATCTAGTGTATTGGTAAGAGTTTAACGAGGTCCCGAATTCCATACGTCTTTTCTTATTTTCAAAATAATAACTGTAATCACTCTTGAAATATAAGTTATAGTTTTTTTACGGGGATTTCGACGAATCTTCCAAACCCGGAGAATTCGACCCAGCGGATGACCGTGGGGATTCCCTTTGTTGCGCGGAAAATGTTTCGGATCTTACGTTATTTTGTTGCTGTGGTTGTTCGAGTTTATCAGTATTCTGCTGCTGAAGTTTCTATAATTTAAAGAATCCCGATATTTTATGACATAATTGTTTTGTTATTATGTGTGATCGATAACGGAAAGGCAGTATATAAACCAACTGGAGCGTACCTGTTGTCGCCATGCATAAGCACGTTCCAATAGTTTGAAATTAGGTTGTTGCGCCTGATCATCAGGGAAAATATAGTCAAAGTATTCCTCCCATGTAACGCCCGCTTGTCCTTCAGCCTCTTCCAACTTTCTTCGTTTTTTAACAACTTTAGGTAATTTACTTTCTACATTGGATAATGTCTCGTGTGTGCCATTATTACTCTCGAAGTCCTTCCATGATTCAAGGAGGAGGACGCGCTAAATGTCAAATATGAAGTCAGCTATTAAATTCCTAATGTAGTGCATCTTAAATGCAAAAATAATCAGAAAATCACCTCTTCCTTAAGTCCCTTCTCCTTCATACTCTTGTAAGCTGTCTCGAATATGTTCCGCGAACGTTCCACTGCATCTTCACGATCACCTCCATCAGCATTCAATTCGAACTGTGCGAAACTAATCCACACTTTAACATGACCAGTCTTTTCTAGCAATCTCTTATACAATTGACGCGTCTTTTCGAACTCCTCCTCGGAAAATTCGAAATCAATGTATGCCTTCCATAATAGCTCCGGCATGTCTAAAATTGGTTGATCCACCGCAAGCTCAAAAATAGCTCTACAACGATCGTAATCGCCCAACATCTTCTCGAGTTCGGCAAATTTTATCCACGCGTAACAATTAGCGGGATTGTGTTCCAGATATTTGGTATATAAAGTTCGACAACGATCAAATTCTCGCAACTTTAAATTGTAAATGGTGGGATTAGGGTTGGTGAAAAGTAAATTTGTTGAATTTGTCAAGTATAATTTTTACCTGTAACTCCAATTCTATATATCCCTTAAAAAGTCTTTCTTTTGGGCACTGCCCTGTTATTTGATAAAGTTACTTGAGGTTCTTTAACTTGAACCTGACGCAATCATTAAAACGGTAATTATTCAATAATACCTATAGCATTTCCTAAGGTCTTCCTGGCAGTCGTCAAGTTTAACTGTCTTATTTCAAATTGAGCATAGAGCAACCATATTTTTGCAAAAGTAAATTTTTTGTGCGGTATTATCTTAAGGCATTCTTGATAAATTTGCCTTGTTCGTTCATAATCCTATTGTTTAGGACAATTCCATTAAATTTTCACCTTCTAAAGAAAAAAAAACAGAATTATCAATTTTTAACTCACCATTGTCTCAAGTTCTTCGTAAAGCGCATAATTTATCCACAAGTAAATGTATCGCCTCCAAAATCTTTTTTCCTGGGTCGGAGGTACTTGTGAAATCGCGCGCTCATAAATTTCTCGAACTTTCAAAGTATCGCCTACACTTTCTTCCAGCCGTGCATAGTCGAACCATACATCATAGTTCTTTGGATTTGCCTTCAATTCCTATTATTGCGACAGGAAGACAATTGAGATAACAAATTTGTGCTCATGGATAAATAACCAAATTTTAAGTTTAGGTCATACTTCATCATATTGAACTCTTCGTTTCCCGACAACGACGTCCTCTATTCCTTCTTTGTCACCGTATTGTTTCTCGAATTGAGTGTACGCATTATAAAGCGACTCTGATTTTGAGCGCGGTAATTTTTCCAAAGCGTATTTAAAAATAATTCGAGCTCTTTCAAACTACAAAAAAAAAAAAAAAAAAGAGAAAGAGAGAGAAAAAAAAAGTTCATTTTATATTGATCATAGACAATATATATTGAATATATTACGTACCTTGACAACATACCTCTTTTAACTTGGTTTCAAATTTCGCAAAAGAGATGAAGATCTTCTGTTCTATGTGATCTTCACCTAAAGCCTCAATTGCACGACTATATATTTCTCTGCATTTTTCTAAATAGCAATTAAAAAGCGTTATTTTTTGTCGAGAGCATTAATTGCAAAGAGTGAAAACTAGCTTCGTACCTAAATTATGCTGCTCCTCCTCAAATTTGACCCATTTAAGCCAATTTTTCGGCTCTGGGTGAACGCTAACGAATCTCTCATAAATTGCTCTCGCCCTATCAGTCTCATTATACCTTCTTTCCATCTTTATATAGGCATTCCACGCTGATTCATCCGGTTCCCATTGCATCCAACGCTCAAATATCTGCCGAGATCCCGCAACATTACCCAGCATCTCTTCCATATACGTGTATTTGTACCTTTTTTCGAAAACAAATGTTAATTATTGTCTTTAATATTTAAACCCATGAAATCTACATTTATATATATATGCATTACCAAAATTGGTCAACCCTCGGTAGCAAAGTCACAGCGCGATCAAACAAATTTCTTGCGTGATTGACGTTACGATTTTTCATTTCCATTTCGGTATACTTTATATACAGGGTTACATTCCGCGAATCTACATCCAAGGCTCTTTCGTATACCGAACGTGCCCTTTAAACCATAAAAGATAGATTAAAAATTACGAAACTTTAACTGCCTTTCTGACAATGAACAAAAAATAGAGCGTACCTATTTAGTTCCTTTTGACTTTCTTCCCATGCCGCATATTTCAGCCAGCTTCCAATATTCAATCTGTTCCTTCTTATGGAATCCTCGAATTCTTTTCGCTTACGTAGGCGGTACTCGGATAATTCTTCTAGGTCAGAGATCTTTTGGCGTGGTTCTTTCCTGGCGGCTTCTTGACGTTCCTTGGCCTCACGAAGAATTTGCTCGGCTGTAATTTGAATTGGCGCAGGAGTTTTATTTTTAATCTGTTTGGAGTGTAGATGAGGCAGATATCGGTTAAAAGTTCAATCAAGGAAAGTTCAAATTATAAACTTGTGTCACCTTTGGAGGACCTCGTTGTTGTTTATAGAGGTTTGGAACTTGCGCGGGATCCATTTTGAACGAAAGTTTTTGTGTCGAAGTTAAATTACTATCTGATGATCGAATTATGTGCTTAAGTATCGTGTCACGGATCGACAGAAAAAAATAATCACGTGTTTATAATCAATTTCCTGATCCATATAAATAAAAGCAGAAAAGATCATGAATTGTTATATACACTCGAGATGAATTTTCTTTCTAGAACCGCAAGAGTCGCCTTTCGAATAAAGCAATGGACTCCTAGTACGTCGATGAATTTCTATCCTCTAAACATTAAACGATATTCTATCATAAGGAAAAAAAAAGAAATGTAACAACATTAATGGATTTGCATATAATCTCTATTCTAGCCACTCGCTTTTATGCTACGGAAGCTACCACCAACAGTCTTAAATTTAGTTTTGCACTACCTCACCAGGTAATTTCAGAACCGAACATTCAAATTTAATTATCCTTAGATCAAGATGAGTGGTCGGAGATAAGTTTACAAAGTCGGGAAAGGTTTCAAATAAGAAAGAACGAACAAAACTAGTACGCTTGTTTAAAATTTCCGTACGAAATATTTTGCGATGATACAAACATAGACTATTTATCAAAGTGCCGAAGTCCAACAAGTTAATATTGCTTCAACTTCTGGTGATATGGGTATTCTTGCCAATCATGTTCCCTCTATTGAACAATTGAAACCAGGTGTAATTGAAATCGTCGAAAATGCCACCACCACGAAAAAATTCTTTGGTAAGTACCATGTCACATGAATGCAACAACAAACAGCAACTCATTAAAATGAAAGGTCATCCACAAATTTTATAACATCATTCAGTTAGTGGTGGATTTGCCATCATCAACAGTAATTCTTCACTTGACATAAACGCCGTGGAAGCTTTCCCTTTGGAAGATTTCTCAGTTGAGGTATTTTGCTATTAAATGAAAGGCCTGTTTGTATTAGTTTAACCATGCTTATCGATATAATTCAATTTATTTGGAAAATAATAAAAAAAAAAAAGGCTATCAGAGCGGGTTTGGCGGAAGCCCAGAGAACATTGTCGTCAGGTTCGTCGGAGGAAGATAAGAATGTTGCTAGAATTGAGGTTGAGGTCTACGAAGCACTTCAAAGCGCATTAGGAAAAAGCTCTTGAATAACCTGTGACGTCAAAATTTATCATAAGGAAATAAATCCTACAATGAACGCATATTCTGAGTTCCCTAGTGAGACTTTAACCAGAAACTGCATATAAATTAAAGTTTAATTCTAGAGAAAGCATAATTAATTATAAACAATTCCAGTAACTAGTTAATGTTTAAATAAAATTAAACTTTCTACTTATTTACCTTTTTTTTTTTTTATAATAAATAAATTCAAAATTATGAAAGTTGTAGATTCTACATTATATAGCATATAAGCATTCAAAAAAATTTTACAATTTTTTCAAGTTAAGATAGATAAATTTCAAAGTTTATTAATATACTGTATTTTTGAATAAAAAAATTTATTTAAATAATTATTTAAATCACTATCAATATAGTTTAAAAGTAATGTGATAATAGTTAGAACAGTAAGAATGATTAGTATCTCTTCTATTTGCTGATGGTCATAATAATACTCTTGCTAACACTAGTCAAAATTGTGTCATTCGGCTGTCGAATTATTGCCGAATTTGGAAAAAATTAATAATAAAAAGATTGATGAATTATTTATGATTGTTGCCACTTAGCACTAAAAATATCAGCAAAAAATCTGCAAAAAATATCGGCGTACTACAAAAAAAATTCAGCACAAATCCGGCAATAATGATACTGCGGCAAAAAATTCAGCAAAAAAATTGATACTGTGGCAAAAAATTTGCAAAAATTAATGCTACAGCAAAAAATTTAGTAAAAAAATTCAAATTTTACAAAATTTATTGAAAAATTACAAAATCAATTAATTAAATTATTCATCATTTGCCTCTTCCTCTCTTCCTCCTTTTCCACTTGCTTTTCTTTTTTCTTTAAAGATCTCGGCTTGACTCTTTTAAAACTAGCCCCAATTGGTTTTACCTTGTCAAATATTTTCCGAGATTTTTTGCTTTTTTCTTCTAACCTAACTACCCCTTGAATTTTACCCATTCGTGTACTTTCTCCAATTTGTTATTCACCCTCTGAATACATTAATGATTTCTCATATTCAGTAATTTTTTGTCTTCTGGATTTATCGGCTGATTTTTTATCTTTTTCTATCTCTTTTTCTTGTTCACATTTCAAAATTTCTTCCAAACTGTATGCCCAATTTGGCAAGCCTTCTAGTGAAGTCACATTATAGTAATATAAATCATCACGATATCATTTACAAATCAGCTGGAACACTTGAATTGATTTCGAATGTTCATTTAAATATTTCAACAAATCCTTTAACTATAAGTAATTATGATTAATATTGTAATTATTTGACATAAAATATTTTGCTGAAAAATACCTCTTCAGAATGCCAACTATAATCATATACATTTATTCTTTTTTTAGTGGAGTTTCCCGGATCAGTGTCACTTTCTTCAGATGAATGTACCTTTGTTTCTTTAACTACATCAGTGAATTCATTCCGATATTTGGTAACTTTCTTTGACCTTTGTTCAATAAGCAACTATATGCTTTTAATTATTTGTGCCCTTTTCTTAATTATTCGTTAAAAATTAATATTTGAAGATAGTATAAATGCAGAATATTATTAATCTTACTTTGTTTAACCGGCTATTTGCATGTAAGCAACAATTGTCTGTTTCCAGTTTTCCAGTTTCTGCCTTCTGATATCTTCCTCTTTGATGGTGATGTAAAGCACCTAACCATTTGTTTATTTGCTTTCGTGAAGAATTAAAACGTGGGACCATGGATTTTATTAATTCAGGTATCAACTTTTGTAATATTTTTTTATTCACATCACTCGAAAAAACTTCATCTACCTTCAGTTTATATTTGTTAAGAATGGCTTTTATTAAGGTCTTCATTTCTGTTCTTACTTCTTCTGATTTCAACTTATCTTTGGTAACCAGTTTTACCGGTTTTGCCTCTTTTCTACTCCTCCTAGGTTGAATTCTTTGGCGCTTTCTTAAACTCGGCAAACTTTTGGATTCTGATATATCAGCTACTCTAAATTCTAAAACAACTATAGGATCAAGTTTGGGTTCCACAAATTTGAATTGATCAATTTTCTTTTTTAAATCTTCTATTTTATTTTTTTGCTATTTTGATTTTTTGAAAAACTTGTTGTTAATATATTCCATTAGGTCTAATTGTTTTACAAATTTGGCATTTTCTCTTTCTAGTGTTTCAACCCATACACGCAATTCTTCGTTTTCTAAATAAATCAATCGATTAATAAAGGTAAATTTTAATAATTCAGCAATAATTTAATTCTAATTTTTTTTAATATCCTCCCTGGTTTGAGTTTCAGGTGACAATTCAACTTCCGGCATTGATATTCACGCAACTTCAAATGCTAATATTTCAGGCAATACAATAGATAGTCTTCTTCTAAGCAATTTGATAGCCATATTAGGAATTGAAGATTCAGCATCAGGTGTTACTAAACGAACTATTGCCACTTCTGATGTAGTTAATGCGAAGGAAATTTGCAATGGCAGGGAAGATTGTGAAGGCTAAGAAGGTGAAAGTGGTTATTCTTTGTAAAAAGTGTGTCCAGTTGGTTTTTTTTATTCAGATATTTTAGGTATCGGAAAAAAAAATTAAATTAAAGGGATATTTAAATAAAATTATTCATGTTGTTTTAATACAATTTGAGGCTACATACAATATTATACTATTATTCGTTATATTATATTACAATTTAAAGTCATATACTATATTATACTATATATTATCTGTCATATTATGCTTGTATTATATTACAATTCGAACCTATTTGATATATTAATCACAAAGTTGCCACTTTATGTTACTATTTGCCAATTTTTAAAATGTCAAAAAAGTATTCAATTTCAGCTTTACTTAATGAAAGTTTAAGAAAAAATTCCAAAAAAGCGAAAATTACTTGCAACTATAGTAAATGCAATAGATTACTTGTTGACCCACGAATAGAATTTTCATATAGATATCGAAAAAAAAAAGGCGAACATTTGACAAATGAAGAATTCACATTTTGGCACAGAACGAGAAATATTTCATCAAGTCGAATTATGTCATTAAGCAATAATCAACAAAATCTGAGATTGAATAATGCAAGTTCTGAAAATGATAAATCTAAAGTTGATGATGATGAAGAAATAGATGATATATTTAAAGATTATTCAGTACCAAAATACGAATTTTCACCAAATTCTAGCAAATTTTTGGATAGTCATTTTATATAGATTTTGTTATGGATTATAAACTATAGAATTCGATTTAATTTATCAAATAGTGCAATAGATGCATTGCTAAAATTTATGAAATTGGTGTTAATTGAAATTGGCAACGAAGAATTTGAGCTCTTTAGTAGGTCTTTGTATACCACCAACAATAAACTTGGATTATCAGATCAGTTCGTTAGTTTTGTGGCATGTCAAAAATGCCACAAATTGTATAGATAGGATGATACTCTTGGTTTTCAAAAAAACAATTGGCTATCGGTCATGAAGTGTGTTCATATTAAATTTCTCAATTTGGCAATAAAACGAAGAAAAACTTGCAATTTCCCATTATCTATACAATCAGAATTATTAAATGAAAATGTAATTAATCGGCCCTATTTAGTTTTTTCATATTCTACTATTCGGTATCAATTGTCACAAATGTATTAAAATCTGAATTTTGAATCTAATCTTTGGCATTGGGTAGATCGATCAAGCACTAACGAACTTCTATGTGATATCTATAATAGTGATATTTGAAAAACTTTTAAAGATGAAAACTTAGAATTATTTTTTAGCAAAGAGATGGCTGATTCGCATTTGGGATTGGTGCTAAATATTGACTGATTTTAATCATTCGATAATAAAACGTACAGTACTGGAGTTATATATGCGGCTATCGCAAATTTGCTACACAAAATATGATTTAAACATGAAAATATGTTGATTCTTGGCATATTACTAGATCCTAGTGAACCAAGTTTATATCAAATAAACCAGTACCTTTCTTCAATTAACGATGAATTAGTGCAACTATGGCAAAGCATAAAGTTTGATTCAACTGCCAAAATTAAGAGGAAAAATAATTCAGGCAGCCTTAATTTTAATTTCGTGTGATATTCCTGCTATACAAAAAGTGTGTGGACACATTTCAGCACTAGTGTCATGTCATCGTTACAAGAAAAATACCAATTATGAAAATAATTATCATAATTTTGGTGGCATGAAGGATATAAACAAATGGTTTATACCAGAAAGATTTGGTAACACATAAACGAGACTCTATCGAATGGAGACGCTGTAACTTGAATGCAGCACAAAAACGTTTTGTCAGTGAGAATCATGTCAGATGGTCCGAATTCTTTTGCCTATCTTATTTTGATCCAATTCAGCATTTAGTTATTGATTCTATGCATTGTCTTTTCTTAGGTATTGGTAAATGGCTCATTAAATGAATATGGATCAAAGAAAGGATACTGACGAATAATTCATTGGATGAAATACAATCAATAATGGAAAATTTTAAGTACCATCAAATATTGGCCAAATTCTGAAAAAGTAAATAGTGGCAAAGGATTTTCGAACTTTACTACCAATCAGTGAAGAAATTTTTTCACAATATATGCAACTATCGTTCTATGGAAATATCTTCCAGATATGAATCGCCAAATTCTAATGAATTTTATCAAGATCTGTCAAATCTTAGTATGCCGAATTTTAAGATGAAATTTGTTAAATGAGGCTCACAAAAAATTAGTCGCAATGATTAAATCAATAGAATGAAAATATGGGAAAGAAAAAATTACTCCA